GGGGCGGGAGAGGGGTAGGGGGACGGGGACCTGACAAGACGCCACCGAGGCCACGGAAACACCTGGCGCGGAGAGCCGGGCCGGCGGAACCAGCGCCACAGTCACCAAACCTACGCGCGACCTAGCGCGTCCCGCCAAGATCGCGAGATTTCCGCCACAGCGCGATGCAAAAGAGCCGAAGGTGCCCGCGCGCGGCCCGGGGCGTCTGCGCAGGCGCGAGCGGCCATGTGCGCAGGCGCGGGGCTCTTTCCGGGAAGCTACGGGTGCGCGTGGAGTCCAGCTTCCGGAGAAGGGGATGGCCCATCTGCGCGAATGGGTGATGGAGGCTGGATCCGCTCTTGGAGTTCGAGGCAGCTGTCAAACCCCCAGAAATGATGCGTTCTTCATTATAAAAGTAATACTTGCTTTAGGCAGAAAATTTAAACTTACGAATGTAAACTACTAAAATGAAAAAGCTTTTAAAAAATCACTTCAGAAGCCACCCCTTCTCAGGGGCCGTGATAGGCAGCAAGATGGCGTCGGCCAGCCGGGTTGTTCAGGTAGTCAACCCACATACTCCATTTGTAAGGTTCCCTGACAGGAGAGAGAATCCTAAACCCAATGTATCAGCAGTTTTGAGATCAGCAGGACTACCATCTCCCTCTTCTTCAATTTCACAGCCTTCTAAGGGAAGTACATCGCCAGATTGGCTGATGCGTCAGGGTCCATCAGACACTGCAGAAATAATAAAACCATTACCTCAGAAATATAGAAGGAAACTTGTGACTCAAGAAGTCTAATACATCCAACGTGGAGGTCCAGAATAATCGCTGACACTGTGACTGCTGTTTGTTATTAAACAAAAGAATGGTCTTTACAGTAAAGGACTTCCAAAATGACAGATGAGGAATTATACACTAAACAACTTTAATAGATATTCTGGAAGAAAAAAAAATTTAGATAGTCATATCTCTTAATTTATGTATCTTGATCAGCTTCTCCACAAGCTTACCTAATTGTTTATATACTTTGTACTTACTAAAGTACACATTTTAAAGAATTTTTAAAAATCACTTCAATGGATTATAGACCTAAACATAAGAGCTAACACTATAAAATTCTTACAAAAAAGAATGGGGTAAATATTCATGACTTTGGACTGTGCCATGGTTACTTAGATACGAGAGCAAGTGCACAATCAACTAAAGAAAAACTTAGACTTGGACTTTATCAAATTAAACATTTTTGTGCTTCAAAGGACACCACCAAGAAAGTAAAAAGAGCACCCTCAGAATACGAGAAAATATTTACAGTTCACATATCTGATGAGGGAATTGTATCCAGATTAATTTTTTTAAACTCTTGCAACTCGACAATAAAAAGACAAGTAACCAATTGAAAAACATGCAAAGAAGTGAATTGATAGTTCTTCAAAGAATATAGAAAAATGGTCAATAAGTGCATGAAAAGATACTCAACATCATTACTCATTAGGATAATGCAAATCAAAACCAAAAAGAGATACCGCATCACACGCACTACGATGGCTATAATCAAAGAGACAAAATAAGTGTTGGCAAGGAGGTAGAGAAATTGGAGCCTTTACACATTGCTGGAGGGTATGAAAAATGGTGCAGCTACTGGAGAAACGGTCTGGCAGTTTCTCAGAAGGTAAAGTATAGAGTTTCCATACAACCCAACTATTCCATTCCTAGGAATATACCCAAGAGAAATGAAAACATAACTCCACACAAAAACATGCATGTTCATAGCAACATCATAATAGCCAAAAAGTGCAAACGAGCCAAATGTTCGTCAATTGATGAGTGGTTGAATAAAATCTGGTGTAATTTATACAGAGGAATAGTATTCAGTCATAGAATGACTGAAGTACTGACACGTGAATGAACTTTGAAAAAATACATAGTGTATGATTTCATTTTATATAAATGTCCAGAATAGGCAAATACATAGACAGGAAACAGATTAGGTTGTCTAGGGCTGGGGTAGTTGGAGGTGTGTGACTGCTAATGGATATGGGGTTTCTTTGAGGGTGATAAATGTTCTAAATTTATGTTAATGGTTGCACAGCTCTTTGAATGTACTAAAACCCAATCAATTGGACACTTTATCCCCCCTCCCCCCAAATCAATACATGGCTTTTATTGCATCTTTAAAATATCACAAGTAAATCTGAGGAATCATCTGGCATCTTGCTCTTTCTATAGCTGAACAACTTAGATCTTGTTCATTAGCCTACTGAACTGTTCCTTTTTCAGAATCATAGATACCATCAATTTTTCTGATAGCCTTGTTTTTAACTGCTGTGGCTTGCTGAGTCAAAGCAGCTGAATTTGATACAAGTTTAGTGTCATTTCCTTCAAGGATTAACTCATCTTTCTGGGCTTGAGATACTGAACAAGCACCACATGGCCTCATGCGGACCCTGCGGATGTATTTTTCACCCAAAAAATTTCTGATTTCAACAAGAGAACCATTCTCCTGAATTACACATTGATGGGGAAGTGAGCACCAGATCTCATTCTGTAATGGAGGCCCAGTGTAACACCCTTCATCATATTTTGTACGTGATAGGCAGCGTGAATGGTGGCCAGTTCCTTTCTATTTCCCCACCACTTGTTAACCCGGAGCCTCTTTTTCTTCCCAGGGAGACTGCGTTCTATGTTGATGTGATTGAAGTCCCTCCACAGGGTGCCTCTGGGGCCCTTCACAGTAACTGTGCGGCCCCTTCAGAGTGATGTCGACATTTTCTGGAATGTCGACAGCCTGATTGCTGAGAATGGTTTTCATCCTCACAGTAGTGCGACAAAACAAAACTGAATTGCACACTTTAAATGGGTGCAAATTATATCTCGCAAATTATATCTCAATACAGCTATTTTTTAAATCACCACACCCACTCCATCCCAGTCTTCCCCCAGGTGGTGACTGCAGTTAACGTCTACTGTGGCTGTTTCCAAATCTTTCTCAAGCACTTCAAATGCATGAGAATGTAATCACTTGACTAGAGGGTTACTGAAGTAACCTCTTGCACTGAAGCTGACACAAACATGTATTTCGTAAGGCAGATTCATGGGTTGAACCTGCCAGGGTGATGGGTACATGCATTTGAAATTCCTCAGACATTACCAACACACTCATTGCCCTACACGGGGCTGCATAGCATTGACTTTATTTTTTTCCAAAATTCCCAAAAAGGAAAATGGTTTCTTATCCTATGTTGCATTTCTCTGATTATACTGAGGTGGAGAACTGCGTCACTTGATTATTTGCCAGTACCTCGCAGGGCCTTCTTGTTGCCATAAGGGTTGATGTGTTCTCTTCAGGATAGTTACCCCCTGTTACAGAGTCTGTGAGCCTTTTCCCAGTCTTGTATGTTCTGATATTATGTTTGATCAAAAGTTTTCTGAGTTCTCCCACAGTTCCCAAGAGTGTCTCTGGAATGGAAATAAGGGCACAGAAGAAGGAAGTGGGGCTGAGATGGAAAAGGGAGAGCCCACTGTCTGGAGAGATGGCCAGCCATGGTAACGGGTGTCCCCACAAGGCTACCAGGAATCTGTGGGTACCCAGACATAAGGAGAAGGCCTCAGGCTTCGGGCCTCCTTCCCCCAACTTCCCTGGACCATGCTGCTACCCTACCAAATAGTCCCATGGCCCCAAGCCTGGAGGAGCAGGTCTGGTGTCCAGGGACTCGGGGAGACGATCTCTAAGCTGGAGGAAGTCCCAGACTTGGAGGAATTTTCCATTCCCCAATTATCCCTCAGGGCCCACTTCCTACTAGCAACTTTCACAACACTAGCACTCACTGTTTTTTTTATGGCTAAATGGTTAATATCTTTTCATCATAATGCGCATTGGAATCCATGAAAGATGAAAGGAGATCACCAGGATCCCAGCACACAGGGGTCTGGATACATTCCTTCCCAGGCTGCCCTCATAGGACTCAGGTGCAGGACTGACCAAGGCCGGACTGGAGCAAAAAGAGGTCTGATTCCCACACCACCCTCATCAGCACCACCTCAGAGTCTACATTTGTCAACTTCACTGGGCTGTTATAGAAATCAGAGCTCCTTGTCATTTCCTGGCCAGTCCAGGCTGGTGCTGGCATCCCGAGGGACACCAAGGTAGGCTGGCCGTGCTTTGGGCTATAGGTTCCCCACCAGTAACAGGACTGGGAGCAGATGATCTCAAAGTATAGTGTTAGCTTGATGCCCTCACACTGCTCCTGGACAACCATGTGCCCAGGGCCCACCTCCTTTCACTAGAGGGTACATTCTCAAACTCTTCCCTGCAAAAGCCCCACAACTCTGAGTCTTCATTTTAAATTTAAATAACTCTTTTGTAACCTACTTTTTTGAAGGTAAATGGATTCTTAGAATCAGAAACTCCTGACCCTACCTCCCAGCCTTGGTCCCCTATGCAGGGCCAGGCCTTATCAGTCCTGCCACTCAGGCTGGGCCTGATGGAGACACCACCCTCTGCCAGAGGGCTGGGTGGAGCTCAAAGACCCTATCTGGGACCTGCTTCCACACCTCCACCTTCTCTGGTATGGTGTGCCTGCCCTGGAGGAATCACTCACCAACCATAGCAACTACAATAATCTTGAATTCACGGTGCCACTATCCCTCCTAACAGTGAGGTGGAGGCTGTTCTAACCTCCACCTGAGAGGTTTAAACAGTGAAACTGGGGCTCACTATGTTAATTAGCCTGCACAGAGTCACCCAGGAGTTGCTTCCAGGGGAGGGTCTGCAAACCCCTATCTCCACTGAGTGACCAGGGCCTCTCTGAGCTCAGCTCTAGCTACACAAGCTCAGAACAAGCCTGGGGATTTGAATTCTGCCCAGAGACCAGTAGGTCTCAGTGTCCTGGAGCACAGGCTTGGGCTCCTGTGTCACAGGAAACCAAGGCCCAGGGACAGAATAGACTTGCCCAACCCCCAAAGGGCCAGCAGCCTGGCCCACACCAAACCTAGGTCTCCTCTCCCATCAGGACTGGTTCCTTCCTCCACTGAAATTTTGAACATGTTTCATAACTTTCCCAAGCCTCCACTTCCTTACCTTAAAACATGTAATGATAATAATATAAAACTTCCCTCACAGAGAGCTGTGAGGGTCAAATACCCAACATGAAGAGTGTTAGTTACCGTGGCCCAGGACTTAGAAGGCACTCGATAAATGTCAGTGAAAACCAGACAGCAGACCTTACCTCACAACCACACAAAATCAGTCCAAGGTGGACTGTCACCCAACTCCAATGCCAAACAGTAGAGTTCTTAGAATGGTAATATAGACAGTTCTCTACACTTCAGCATATGGCACAATGCTTATTTCACTTTTTTAAAAAGCAATGTAATATTTGCACAACCCAAAATTAACCATTTTATAGGTTAACTCAGTAACATTTTGTGTGTTTACCATGGTGTGCAACCATCATCATTATCTAACTCTAGAATATTTTCACCATCCCAAAAGAAAACCTAGTACCTGTCTGCAATTGCTGCCCATCCCTCAAGACCCCAGCACCTGCTTTCTGTCTCTACAAATCTACCTGTTCTGGACACTTCATAGAAACGGAATCATAGAAAATGTGGCCACTGTATCTGGCTTCATTCACTTAGTATAATGTCTTCAAGGTTCATCCATGGTTAGGGTGTATTCCCGCTTAATTTTATGGCTGAATAATATCTCATTGTAATTCCATAAATACCATAGTTGAGTTACCCACTCATCCACTGCTGGGAATTTGGGTTGTTTGCACCTTCTGGCTATTGTGAATACAATAGTACAACATTTTTAAACGGGACAAAAAAAAAAAAAAATCACTAACTTTGACTGCGTTAAAAGCATAAACTTCTGACCCTGGACGGGTAGCTCAGTCGGTTAGAGCGTTGTCCCAATATGTCAAGGTTCTGGGTTCAATCCCCAGTCAGGGCACATGCAAGAATCAACCAATGAAGGCATAAATAAGTGGAGCAACAGACCGATGTTTCTGTCTCTCCTCTCTCTCTCTTTCTGTCTCTCCCTTCTTCTCTTTCTCTCTAAAATCAATTTAAAAAGTTATAAACTCCTGTACAACAAAAAACAGCATTAAGGCCGTGGAGGCAGACTACAGACTTGGGGGATATATGACACATCAAACTGACAATTTATATCCAGATTGAGATTGCAAAGGGGTGGCAGGTGGGAGTTTCTTTGGGTGATGGAGCAGGTAATTTTCGGGGGGGGGGGTTACATGACTCTACACACATGCCAAAATTCACAGAGCAGTACACTAAAAGAGTCAATTTCATTATATGTTAAAATAAAATTAAAAGGAATATTTGTCTCATTGTTAAAATGATGAAATGGTGAGCAGTATTATAATCCCTTAATGGTAGATGATACTAGGATAATTATCTTTTATTGACCTAGCTTTTCGGGGGACAGACCTAGTTAGTACATCTTTCCTCAGTGCCAGGTGGGCAAAACCATTGCTTTCTCATAGGAAATCTGGAATCACAGAGCCAAGGGGGAGGGAGCTGACATGCGGCCAGGATGGACTAGCCACAGGATCCTACCTGGGAGCCAGGCAGGCAGCACAGGGCATGTTCCAGTCCCAGGAGGGTGTGTTTTGGGCTCTGCTCCTCTGGTTTCCCTCATTTTGTGAGTCTGAAATGGACAAGGACGGTGCAGAGCTGGGCTGCAAATGCAGGCATGACCTCCTGGGCTGGCTGGGCCCCTATCTCTGCTGGACTCTGGTCAGGCTGTGACCAACACCCCCTCTAAGACCCAGCAAAGGTGGCAGGAGTGATAACCCCTCACCCCACCTGTCCCACCAGGCTCTGACTGCCCATTGTCACTGAATCTGATAAGAGACCCC